ATGGTTGGAGAGCTAACATACTTTCTTGGCTTGCAGGTTAAAAGATGAAGGATGGAATTTTCATCACACAAAGCAAGTATGCTAAGAATCTGGTAAGTAAATTTGGGTTAGATAATGCGATGCCTCTAAAAACTCCAATGAGTCCTACTGAAAAGTTGGGACGCGACTGTGACGGCACAGACGTGGATCCCATATTATACAGGAGTATGATTGGAAGTTTACTTTATCATACTGCTTGTAGACCTGACATTTGTTTCAGTGTAGGAGTATGTGCTAGGTACCAATCAAATCCTAAAGAAACTCACTTAAGTGCAGTCAAACGCATCATACGATACGTGAGTGGGACTCTTGAACTAGGAATATGGTACTCCAAAGATACTAATACTTGTCTTGCATGATACAGTGATGTTGACTGGGCAGGAGATGTGGATGACACAAAAAGTACTACAGGAGGCTGTTTCTACATGGGTAACAACTTAGTATCCTGGTATAATAAGAAACAAAACTGCATCTCCTTATCAACAGCTGAATCTGAGTACATAGCTGCAGGTAGTTGTTGCACTCAACTTCTTTGGATGCAACATATGTTAAATGACTATGACTTTCATGAAAAACTCCTTCATATATATGTGATAATGAAAGTGCCATAAATATCTCAAAAAACCCTGTCCAGTATTCTCGAACCAAACACATAGATCTTCGACACCATTTCATCAGGCAATTAGTTGAGCAGAAACGTGTGACTATGGATATTGTGTCCACAGAAAATCAACTAGATGATATTTTCACAAAGCCCCTCGATTTCCTTAGGTTTGATTCCTTGCGTAAAGCGCTTGGAATTTGCCATGTGCAAAACTGAATTTTCTATGATAGTGCAATTAATGTTTTTGTCCGGATTGCACTTGAATTTTTTAATCGGACATTATATGTGTCACCTACGAATATGACATCATTGCTTTTGGAATAGGATTGATGGGAGGTTCATTTTGACTAATTATTTGTGTGTTAGTTTTTGTGAATTAATTTTTGTTTCCATAGTTAGCCATGATAGAAGTGTGCCGCCCCCTTTATCGGTAGTGATCAATGTCTATAACCTCATTCATCTCAAAGATCATACCTCTATTGGGAGAATTCTGGTACCGCATATGCATCCCTGACTTCTATTTAAAAGCTATGTGGATTCTTAAGGAGGTTGCCCTCCTAATGTTTGCTTGAACATCATATCAAAAAAAAAAAAAAAAAAAAAAAAGGGAGGAGGGAAAAGTTGGGATGATATTCAAGCATACATTAGCGAAATTCTCCTTGAAGTACACGATCGAATTGTTGTGATAATCGCATACGCATTCATAACCCTAATAAAATTACCTAAATTATGGTTTCTTGAGTATTGTCATGGGGTTATAGTTATATCGTGCATCCAAGAGCTTGCTCGGTGGCCTTCTATTGTGATTCTCTTTAAGATTATCAAATTAATTCATGAAAATCAAGCCCTCAACTTTTAATCTTGTGATCTTCTTGATTTTCTTTTCCTTAAAAGATGTGATTTTTTTTCCCTTTAAAATTTTTTTCTTGAATTTTCTGGGCTTTGTGAATTTTTTTGGCTACTAGTTGTCTCTGGCCACGTGGCTATGGCCATGTCATCTGCCTTCTCTATTTTTGATATTTCTTGTGGAGAATATCTTGTTTGTTATTGGTTGCGGATTTTGTGGGATCTTCTTCTGATTTGAAAATATCCGGTATCTGAAGAGTCCTCTCTTTTTCTGCCTCTTTTCTTGGTCCCTGTGCTTTAAATATCTGCCCTTATAGGGTTTCCCTCTCACACTTTATTCTCTCTCTTCTTCTCTTCCGCCGTTCCTTTTTTTTTTCTCTCGTTTTCTCTGTGTTCACTATTCACCATGGGCAAGAATCGATCTGTTGAGGGCTCCAAGAAACGACGCCACACTCCCTCTGCCTCGCCTGCTGAGAAGAAGTCCAGAAAATCCTCGAAGAAAGTTCGCCCTACTGCTGTGGAAGTTTCTCCTGTTCCCGTTGGCACAGATCTGGACCCCATCTCTATTCCCGTGGCTTCACCATCACCGAGCCCAAGACAAGTGATGTGCATGAACCTGTTGATACCGGAGTGGCTGACCTTGACGGTGATAGCCTTTCTGCAAATCCACAAGATGATTTGGATCAGCCCTCAGATCCAGAAGTTGCCCCCCGCAACGTTGTGTTTCCTGCTCAACTCCATCGCTCTAATCGAAAACACGAAGGGACATCTGTCTCCATTCCTCTGTCTGAGTTTGAAGGTCATCAATCCTCTTCTTCTGAGCCTATTCCTGAGGATGACCCCTTGCGTTCTGAATCCTCTGATTCATCTGTGGGCTCTCAACTCTCTGCTGGTAACTGTTTCTCATCCCTCTTTTATTCTGCTCTTGCTAAAGAAAACTGGGATAGTATGAGTAAGCGTGCGTGCTCTCCTGAGCGTGTTTTGTCTAGGTCTGTTTTACCTCTGTCTGGGATTTTCCGTCTTCTTAAATCTCAAGGGTTGCTTGGCACTATTGTGAGTGCACAACCTTTCGAACGGTCTGTCATTGTTGAGTTTTATGCCAATATTTATGATCGTTTTTCTGTTGTGGGGTCTCGTGGGTATGAGAAAGTGTATGTGAGGGGTTCGTTCTATTCTGTGACTCCTGCCTTGATTAATGAGTTCTATAAATGTCCAAACGAGGTTTCTTCCAAACCCTCTGTTTCCAAAGATACTCTGGCCTCTGTTCTCACTGCCAAAGTTTTGAAAAAATAGCCTGGTCCGAAGTCTGCTTTTCATGTTTCTACGTTAACTCAGCTGTATTCAGTCCTGTTTAAGATAGGCATTTCCAACTGGTTTCCCACTACTCACAATGCTACTCTCAGTCCCACTCAAGCTGAGTTTTTATGGTGCATCACTCATGACCTTAAAATCAATATTGGTGAATTGATTTTCAATCAAATTGGTGTGTTAGCCAATTCCCGAACTGAGCGTGAGCATCTGCCGTTTCCTTCTCTGATCTATCAGCTTTTGATCAAACAAGGCCTGCCCACTCGTGATGCCACTTTGTTGGATCCTCCTGGCCGTCCAATCACTATCCATGGTAAGGTCCTTTCTGAACATTTTGCTGATCTGCCTCCTGTCGATCCTTCTGTTGTTCAGACGGTCCCTCGTGCGAAGAAGGCTCCCATTGTCTCTGCCTCTATTCCGCGGCCAGTTGATGTGGTCACCAAGGATGAGCTCACTCGTTTTCAGGAGACTATCCAGGCTCAGCTTGCTCAGGGGTTTGCGTCTATTCAGGATCAGCTGCTTAGGACTTTGGCACATTCTGGTCAGAAAGGGGGAGTAGCAACAACTCATGCGGCTTCAACCAAGACCGAAGACAAATGCAAAAAGCAGGCATCCCTCATCACTCCTCCACAGCCCAGCTCTCGTGATGATGATGATCTGTTCTCTGGCTTTAGTTACTAAAGCAGAATTTTATTTTTTTGCGTTTTTATGTCTTTCATCTTAAAACTATCTGCTATTACTTTTGGTCTGTAATAGCTAGTATTGCTTTATTTTTTCTACATCTTAGAATCTATTTGTTATCTTTTTATCTGCATTGATAACTATTTTTGAGTTAATTTTGGAGTGATACTATATCTCTCGCTTATTTGTCTCACTGCAGGAAATACTTATGTAGCCACTGCTATTGTGCTAACAGTATGTGATATTATGTGCTAACAGTATGTGATGTAGGGGGAGTCTTTTCTCTTTCCGTCTTATCTGCAGGGGGAGTTCTTGTTAAAAATGGGTTCTGACCAAATCTATGCCAAAGGGGGAGATTGTTGGTGCCAGATTTCCACCGAGGAAGAAATCCGCCTCACTTGGGAAGTAAAGATTGGCGAAAGATTTGTTCCCATGTTTATTTTGGAAATTTAGAGTCCTACATTTGTAATTCTTTAGGACTTAGATTTATTTCCTTGTACTTTACTCTTGTTAGGAATCTTTTATAGTTATCTAGATTAGAACTAGATATTGACTAGGATTTTGTTTCCTAGTTATTCGGTTCCTTTGGAAGACAGGTCTTTGGAGGCCGATCTCACGCCTATATAAGGCTCCTCACCTCACAAAGACCGTGATACTTTTTTTGGGAGAAAAATCACTCCACAGGTTTGAAGAATGGCTGAAACGTTCTGCTGAATAGAACTGTGCCATCGTTGGATGTGTCAACATACACAGATTTGCTGTATAGATCTCTTGAGAGATCAACCGCGTCACTGAAGGGAGTTCAGGCCAGAAAGGAGTTCTAGGCACGCGGTGTGGAGCTGTTGTTGGAAGAATACGAAGTTCGAGTTGTGTGCAAGAACGGCATATTACATAAAGATGGAGTCTTTAGTGCTTTTATTAAGTCCTATTAATGTACACTATAAATCTAAACTAGTGAAATTGTGTTTGCAGGTCCACGTGGATGTAGGGCACAATTGTGTCTGAACCACATTAATTCTTGTGTTCTGTTTATTTACTTTAAGTAGAGTATAACTGTGTTAACACAAGATTTACAGTTGTAACTGAATACTGTTTCCACAACTTAACTATTACAACTTAGGTTAATTGGTTTCTATAGGCATATAAATCAACAGTTATTAAATTTTTATTTTTTATAATTGGTTAAGATCAATATGGTGAGATCTTTGTTTTATGTAATTTGGTAACTGATCTAAGATGGAAGCATACTATTCATCAGGTAATGTTTGCAAATATTAGCCATACTTTAATTTTTTTATAAATATTCGACTAGTTATCACTTCAATATTATTTAATTTAAATTTAACTAGGGTAATTTTTTTATAAATATTCGACTGGTTATCCGTCTCTAACTAGGGTAATTCTCTTCTCTATTTTTTTTCCTCTTTGATAGCATAAATTTTGGATTATTGGAAGCCCTATTTTTTTCCAAAATTTAATGGAAGGTTTCTTTGGATTATTGGGAACCCTAATTTTTCCAAAATTTAAGTGGAAGGGTTCTTTGATTTTCGTTGTTTTAGAATTTTCATAAGAAGCATGATGTAGTAGTGTATTGGGTAAAAAAGTTCTTTCTATGAATTGAAGGGCATGATAGCATTCTGCTATAATTGGGAGAATGCCCTTTAGCAAATATGTTTAATTTCTAATTTTTGTGCAAGTCTATAGTTTTTTATTTTGACAGTTGCGGAGAATCCCAACTTATTTTCTCTAATTAAGGTCTTGATAAAGCTTGTGATTTTGCAGAAGGTGAGTGATATCGTTCTTTTTAATTTCATTTGCTTTAATTATTTCTAGTTGAATCTTTGGATTTTTGTTTAGTTCTAGTCATCGAATTATTTATAATATTGATTTTCGGATTGTTGGATTATTTCTCTTTGAAGTTAATTCCTATTAGGTTAAATATTGTAGGTGTTAGGAATCTCTCTCAAGGCGTGGAAGGAAGCTTTTGCTATTGTTGGATCTGATGCTATTGTTTTCCTGATGGTAATTTTGTGCATTCTACTTTTTAATTTAAGTTTACTTTTAATTTCATTGTTCTATAGTGTGCTATCTTAATTGCTAATAAGGTGTAGTATGTTCCAGCATATGACCACTCGTTCCCTATAATTCGAAGTTTTCTTCGAACAATCACAATGGTACAATCAGGTTTCTTCGATAATATTTTATTCTTGATTAATGCTTTAAATGAATCTCTGGTTAAATGTCTTATAATGGATGTGAATCATAAACTTTAATAGCCGTTTGGTAATGTAAAGCTTTTGGCAGATTTTGTGAGACCTTTTAGCAAAGAGGACTGCCAAGGGAAGTAGAAAGGAAAGAAAAGAAAAGAGAAGAACTCAAAGAAAAAAGGACTGCCAGGGGAAGTAGAAAGAAAAAAAAAGGTGAACTAGTAAAATTTTTTAACATTTTGAAAATTTGATCATCTCATCTCCAGCTTTGTTCCCTACTTTTTTTAGTATGTATTACTTAACTGTATTTACCGTAATTATTTTTCCTCATTTATTTTGACAGAGTTAAGTATTGCTAGCGCTAGAAGCGAAGATGAAGAGCAGGAAGAACAAGAAAATATTTACTTGGAAAAAAGGCCAGTTTATACTTCAAATTTAGCAATAAATGAATGTTCTAGTCATGTATTACTTGTTGAACATGGTTACAATGCAATGATACTATTTTTTGAGAATGTGAAAAATTGATCAACTTCACTATTAGTTAGTCAACTTTTGTGGATATCTTTCAACTGACAAAGTATTAATAATAATAATAATAATAATAATAATAATAATAATAATAATAATAATAATAATAATAATAATAATAATAATAATGATAATAATAATAATAATAATAATAATAATAATAATAATAATAATAATAATAATAATAATAATAATAATAATAATAATAATAATAATAATAATAATAATAATAATAGCAACCAAGTAGAGGAAATAATCATAATAGTGGAAAGAAAGGTCATAGTAGCCGTAATAACAAGGCTAATAATCATAATAAGGTTAATAAAAGGGTAAATAATACTAATACTAATAATAATAAGAATAATAATAATAATAATAATGGTTATAGTAATAATATTAATAATAATAATAATAATAATAATAATAATAATAATAATAATAATAATAATAATAATAATAATAATAATAATAATAATAATACATAATAATAATAATAATAATAATAATAATAATAATAATAATAATAATAATAATAATAATAATAATAATAATCATAATAATAATAATCATAATAATAATAATAATAATAA